TCAAGTCTATGTGGAGTTATTTCTTGGAGATCTATTCGCCAAAGGGAACATGATTTTTATTGACTTTTCGAAATTATGCCATAGCAAGAAACGATGGTCTTTTGTTGTTTTTTTTTTTTGAAAATGTCTGCTGTGCAATGTATAATAGAAATTCGAGCAATTTATATTATGTCATAGTCATGTCAAGTGTTACAAATGTATTTGGCATTGATTGTTTGTTGTTTGCAAACGTGTGTCGATCTAAAACAAAACACGGAGTAAAGAGCGATGGTTGGGACTACTGCGAAAAATGTTTTGATGGACATGACTAATCATGCATTGTTGTTAAGTTGATGGCCGGGAAAACAGACAGTTAACTACAATAATAATAATAATTGGAAAAAAGGAAGAAGATGCAATAAGCTGCAACAAAAAATATAGTCTTCTATCTGTTCACAGGACGCTATTCAAAATAAAGTTGAAGCCTTTGCAAGCTATTTGTAGATAGAAGCGAATTTATTGAAAAATCGTAAGCTCACATTTCGCTTAAACGTTTAAAGAAGCTCATAATAACCTAAGATAAATTATAGTAGCTTCAATTAGCTATGGTCAGACCACAAAAGCACTAAAATTGCTAATTTAAAAAGATAGCCCGCTAAAAGTCCTGGAACTAACAGACAGTGACTGAAAAAGTTTAGTCAAAAGTAACTAAATTGCTTTATAGGCAAGCGTAAGTGAATCAAGCACACAGCGTCTGCATGGATACCCATCAATGCGCACCGAGTTTGTCTAACGTAAAACAGCCTCGCATTTGCCGTATGTATGAAGACTTTGGCTGGCGAGAAATTCCCGTATTCGAACACTCGCCAAAACTAACGTTAATAATAGCAACCATAAAAATTATTCATCAATGTCTTCATCAACAGCTGCCACAATTGCGGCCGAACCGTTTTCTCTCATAGTCTTCGTCAATCAACGCGACACGTTGCGACGCAACGAGAGTCGCCGTGATCAGCATCTTAGAAAAAGTAACAAGCAAAAGCAAGAACGAACGAACGATGCTGATCTACCAGTTGTTTAGCTTTCCCTCGTTTGCCACTCTTGTCATCTTTATGATTGGCCTGTTTTTCCATTGCGATTGTATTGAAATCATGACATGGCTTCTCCGCGTCTGCAAATCCATCTATCGACGGTTACGCCACACGACCCTTGATTTGCGTAAAGACATGGGTGTAGTTAATCTGAAGAAAAGCTAGAAGACCGCTACGAACTGGAAAGGGATACAGAGACAGCGAGTTGAAAAATTAGCTCGAGACTTTTTTTTCCTTGTGAAGAAAAAGACGTGATATTCTCTCTAATTCAACCTCGTCTGGATGCCTGTTGAAGGCGGCTCTTGATCCGCAGGATGTGTACCGTGGACTCTGTGGCCATAGTCATTGCCCCTGACACGAAAGTAGCGAACAGGAGAAAAGACCTATGAAAAATGAGGCATCACCGTGGTAGGCGACGACGTCAACCAACTCGACGTATAGTTGGGCGCGACCCGTTTGGCTTTGTCGGGGTGACACAGGCAACGCCATCCAAGGCTACCGCTGTCCTTGTTATGGGAACGGCATGGCATGGAATGGAATGGAGTGTTAGACTTGATCTTGAGCGCCACATGATAGTCGTAGCAGCGATCCGGAGCTTGAGTGGTGATAGGCGCCGCTGGGATCAGTCTGTTCTTCTTTTGTTTTTTGTCGAGTCACAACTACAGTTTAACAAATTGTTTTTATTCGCTACGGTTCGTTATGCGCGCGAACGATTGCTGCATGTTTTGGTTTTTCACCTATGTGTATGTGTGTGTTTGTACATTCGTCTTTCGTTACCTGTTTTGACAATGCTACGAATTTTACGGAATAGAATACGAGTGAAGAAAATAATAAACAGTCGAAGATACTGTAGACAGTATCTTCGATTGCTATATAGATCTGAGCAGATATCGAAGACAACTTCAGTTCAGTACCATTGACAGTATCGGCACTGCTAAACAATCGAATTGTATCTGAATATCCACTTTGAGCGCGTTATTGTACATGTAGCGTTATCCATGAATACGTTCCAGCGTGCAAGATAAGAAACTTAGTCTTGACGTTTTCCAGCATGTTTATTATTTTCGCTCAAAAAAACATGCTAGATTGAAATTTGCACAAGGCGGTGTTTTGTAAACCTACAGTATCTCAGGTGGTTCTACTCATTAGCTAGAATGCTCAGTTTTCTTTCTGATTAAGCCGCCCCTTGAATCCGCAATCGTATTGGACTGTATTGAGAGGGAACTTTACGTCGATTCGGAAAAGATCTCGTCCACCATCGACGAATCATTGGCCGCCTCCATCTGATCAGCAATGAAAGAGAGGTACATCGATTTTGACGCGCAGTGATGAGCTAAATCCGTCGAAGGAGCAACGAAAACTCCTTCAACAGCGCGTGAAACCGCATAGATTCAGCAAAACAAGAAGAAGAAATAAATTTAATGATATTCTGCGATCAAACGGGATACTTTTGATCTTTGTTTTCAACCAGTCAGAGGATCAACGATGATGATAAGGTTAAACGCCGATCCCCCATAACAATCCGGACGACAGACTGTTGTCTGTCAGCCACGGCAGAAGCGTTTGAGTTTACGGCGTTTATTTGCTCTAAATCGGCATCATGATGAGCGTGTCTGATGTCCCTCCGCTACTAGTCATTCCGTATTATTGCGGCCGGGCAGTGGCGCGCCCAGGACTAGTCAAAGAGCTGACCCAAAGCATCGCATACTGTCGCAAACATTTTTGAGACGAAACGCCGCTAAGGCACAGGGTTTATTTCTCATCGCAGATCAGAGCAGAGGAGTATTTAGTACCCTATATATATATGTATTTCTCTACACCTGTATATAGCTTGTATATCTACATCAACGTATGCAGTTAGTGAGCACCTGTGCCCGACGACCATTTCTCTTTCACTACCCATGCACTCACTCCTCTGAGTATAATCTGGGCTATCAGTCATTAGGAGCCACACCTTGGATTTCAATGCGGTAAAGCCTCTTTACTTCAGGAGAAGTACACATCGTCATCCGAGTCATAAACCCAAGCACTTCTAAACGAAGCGCTTATGAACGCCTTTGGCTACTGCAGTCGAAAACATCTACATCAGCATCATACGAAAACACACGGAGACAGACCTAAAGTTTAAGTAACAATTATTTTGAAGGTAGATACAATGACTGACCGTAAGTTATTGAAAGGCGCTTTTGCTAAGCTAATAGTCCTAGTTCGACCATCCAAGTAACTTCTTTCTTTAAGTTAACTTGGTCAGGCACCATTTCTTAACGTTGTGTGTAGATCCATATATTTATAGACATTATATGAGCATATATTCTTTCTTAGTTGGGATAAAGTTGTTTTACAACAAACCTTCAATAGCAGGTACCTATTCTCGACGATACCTCGCATAGCTTTCTTTATTAGCGATGTTTAATGTAATGCTCAGAAATGAAGGTAGAAAAATTTGATCGTTTCTTTTTTGGCCGTCGGTGCCTTCTGTGTTGTTGTCGTTGTTTTTGTGGCCAATAGCCTTAAAAGTTTTGTGGTTGTATACAGCGAATGGTTCCTTTTACAATCGAATTTAGAGATATTTGAACGACGGTGAGGTGGCGTCTGAATCGATTTTGACGTTCCGTTCCGCCTTCGGTATTCACGAAGTTGAGCCAGAAGTGACCACGCCTGTTCATATCGAGGAATACACGCAAAACCCGTAGCGACCAAACTACTGGCCATCACAGGCTGTGGTGCGACCCTAACGCTACTGTTTAGAAAATCAGACAAATTTGCAGCTTATGCAGATCTACTTCTTCGAGTCTTCTGGCTGATCCCAGCTGTCCTGGACAATTTGGTATCCAGCGCTGCGCAGAGGCCTGCGTACCCTACAGACGAATCGGAAGCGGCTACAACCAAGCATCAATACCTACGTATAGCTAAAGTTTCTCAAAATCAAGTTTCTATACAATTGTTACGGATGTGGTCATATCAAATGCTGTTGACCGATACATCTTCCAACCTCCGGATTTTGCCGTATTTGTTTTTTCTGTTTTCGTCATCAGCGTCGTCGGCGCGTGATGACTAAGGTCGCCTTTGTCAATTTCTTCGTTTAAAACGAATGACCGCCGCTGTTATTGTTGTCGTCGTCGTCGTCGTCGTCGTCGTCATGCTTCAGTGTTTCGTACGTTCAACCAAACCATGTTTTTTCTACCAGGATCCGACTAGGTGCGAGCTCCGAAATCGCGACACGACTCCCGTGCATCGCGGCAGCGATTAAGTCATTGACACGACCGGCGCGGCCATCCACTAGACGCCGGTAGGCAGTTCAGAGATTATGAAGATGTTGAAGAAGACAACGAAACATGGGAGCTGTTATCATGGCACTCCTGCTACTGCTGCTGCTGCTGTCGTTGCCGCCATGAGCCTAGGGACCACGCTGGCAGCGGGGCGGGTTACTCTGCATCAGACGAATCACGCGTCTTACCATAGAACGTCCCATCTTCGTGCCGCAGTGAATAATACAAAATGAATGATTAAATTCGCTCTCTGATTGGATAAAACGCTTATGTATAAAATGATTTGTCCTGTCTTATCGAACAGTGCTGAGATGTTATCATTTTTAGATGAGGAGACATGGTGAGATGGAGGATAAACATTGACTGGCTAGAACGTTCGTAATACCTATTCTACTAAACAATAAAAACTGCAATTAGAAGTTCGACTGGTGATGAAACATCTTCTCACTAATGTTCTGAGAATTTATTTGTAATAAAATAAGAATATAATTAGATTGCTGCACTTAATGATCATTAAGTTCGTTTTTGATTGCTCATGCGTAAGAACTCAAGGACCCTCCAGTTACCTGCATGACATTATTACCACTGATAAGGGTCCAATAATATCCCTCACGTAATACACAATTAATGCTTTTTTAATGTATTTTTCGTCTTCTTTCAGTTGTATGAACTCAGTGACGACCCGAAACGTAAGGAGTTCCTCGATGATTTGTTTGCCTTCATGCAGAAGCGAGGTGAGTCGAAAGTTCATCTTTTACTTTCTGCACTGCGAGCTCCTAATCGAAAACGACCATATCTACATTTTGCTCCTCCATGGCGTTCATTGTTTGGTCGAATATTGCGGACAAACGTCAATACAACGCAACGGCAAAAGCATAGCCATTACGTTTGGCGCCCGCAATCAATAACGAAAAGATGTCAACATATTTAACATGCAACAATATCGGACGCACCCGGTCTAACCGAAAGACGAGCTTTGGTAGGCGACGACGGTGCTGACGTCGCGCTATGGCATTAAACAATCATTTGTCAAGTCGCAGTGGATACGCTTAACAAAGCATCTGATTTTGTCATTGCTTGTGACTGGAGCCAGAAAATCTGCTGTTGTTTGAGCTCGCTCACGGGAGACATGAGCTCCGCGCCACGGAAGCCTTACTTTTTCTATAGTGCTTTGAGTTTCTCACATTCGGGCCTTCCCTCCTACGGGCGGCAATGATGAAACAGTTACGGATTTTTGAGACGCTTTTGTCTCAACAATGTTCGTGTCGTTAAAAACAGCCGTTTACATCTCGCTATCACAAGCGTTAAACGAGAAATATATGTACAACAAATATGCATATATACATATGGACTAGATTAGAGTGCTTCCGCTTAAATTGGGCCCTTCTCTATAAGTAGCTATCACGTCGAGCTTCGGTATCAGACGCTTCTATTAGACGGTGTTTACTATTGCGCTTATTGTTGTTGTTGTTGTGACAAGTCGACAGCGTCGGCCGAGGAAAACAACAGCCCGAATCTTTTCTCAGCTTTTCGTATCACTGTCGATACTGTTGCTATCACGACGGATACAACGGTCTCACATAGACGGACATGAGGCATTGTTGTTTCGTTGTGGCGCTATTTTTTCGATATTGATGTCCTTGTTGTCGTCCGGTTGGCCGATAAATCGATCCTATCCGGCAGTCTTTCGTTTTCAATTAAGAGCACTTCTGTCCCATTCGTAGAGCGGAGCAGTCGCACAACTACACTAGAGTCTATAAGGCACACTAAAGGTGTCCTATATCGACGGCGCCGCTTTTTCTAGTTGTAACGTGACATGATGTTCAATACATGGCTCTACAGCGGCCGCTAGTCACTTGACCGTATATGTAGCTGGTCTACGGCCATTGAATTTGATCTGAAATTACTCCACCGGATGACCGTTGACACGAGACAGAACTGTATCAAGCGAGAGAAACGGGATAAACGCGGCGAGCGTACCGTGCCTTATGCCCTGCGTTCGCGACCGTTGATCGTGCCCAATGGCGGCAGCAGCTCTAATAGGTTCGATTCTAAGCAACGCTGAATTCCTTGTTTAATTGGAAAACGTTAGCGCGATTTTGCGCCAGCGTCATCATTGGTGCTATCGCCGAAACTGATCCAGATTGAAAATCCATTTTTTCCGGGTCCAATGAACCGCTTGTTATTGGCAGGGAGTCGCGGAACAATGATGTTTTGAATACAAAAAGGTCATAGGTAAAATCGTTTTGTGTTCCGGCGTACCTGTGCGTTGTCACTAAACGGGTTGGTGCTCGCTGGAGACGACAATGTTAGCTGAGCACTTGCTGTAACTCTTATTTCTGCCGCTGCCACTTCACCCTTTTGTAGGAACCCCTTTCTGTACGCGTTTCCTTCGGTGTGGAAATTGGATTTTTTTTAAATTAGACACCAGCGATGGAATCGAATGATGTATTTTCTTATCGTTACCGTTGTTGTAGTAGTTTTTCGATGATGACACTGAAGACTTCACGCAGCGTGAGAACGTCGAGACGCCGCGATCATCGTCCATACCAGCAATAGCGCTTACTAACCAAGTATAAGAGAAATTCGGTTGATATGGTAATAGTTGAAGTCTGGATATAGAGTGCGTAGTGATAATTGTAACGGCCGATAGGATGACGTTAGTTTAGATGGAGAAAATTATCCAAATGCTGAGTGTAGGCACGGAAAGGTAGACACAGACGGGCGCGCCTGTCTGGCAGTAGTGAATTACGCTCGAGACAAAGTGGACGATTAGCTATTTATGAGATACTATAGATCAACTTCGTTATAGATAGGTTAGATATATTCGATTATATCGAACAGTCAAATGAGTTGTCTTTGTGAAGACGGACACCGATGGCTGAGAACGGGGCACCAACTGTGTCGGGGGCGGAGAAAAATGTAACTAGAACGGATGATATCGGCATTGTTTGGCTTCACGTCGCCGTCAAAGACCGATGGCAGCAGGCAACGACGTCGGGCCGAATAACGCCGTATCGCGGACGCTCGATGCGCCTTCAATGAAACGTGTCCTTTTTCAACCGCTCCGGTACTATAATTCGATACTATTGCAGTACCACATGATGTAATGCATAAGTGAAGGCAAAGACCAGCATTTGGCTTCTCGGCTGACACCACTGCTCAAAGAAAACGAAAATAGTCGAAAATAGAGCTTGAGTCAATAAAGACAACAGTGACGAGGTCAGCAATAACAACATCAACAAGAGTAACAACAATCACGTTTTTGTGGCAAGAAAACAAGTCGCATTCGGCCTTCACTTCAGCTCTCGTTGAAATACGATGTCTACATTCAACATCGTCATAATCAAGGTCAGCAGAGGCACCATTCGTCCGCGGAGCAAAACTGAGTAAATAATGCAGTAACAACATGGTATGGAACCATTAGCTGTGGCCGCCCCTTTCACGCATTTACATGTTATAATTAACTTATTATAGCTCGACCTGTTGGATACACGTCACGTACCTTCCAGGGTCGTAGGTAATTTGTCGTATTAGAATAGATCGAAGTAGCCAGGAAGGCAACAACGCTGCTGTAAAAAAAAATACTACAACAAACAAAAAACGTAACGATAACGGTAGCCGGGCCGATGGCGATGGCAACTATGAAAGGATAAGCAGATTAGAAATGCGAAATATTGGCGTTTCCGTCTATTCCTGCAGTCACTTTCCTTCGAGGCTGCCTTGTTCATCTCGTATTTCGAAGGCTGGAGTGCTCGCGTCGCGCGTGTGTAATAACGGAGATTTTATACGTAGATGTGCAACGAAACAGGCTGTTTACCGGTATCGACAGGCTACACACGGAGCAGCAACGGTAAGACTGAAGATTTAAGGTCGAACACGCTATTTCGCTTTGTGTCTTCGTCGTTTGTTTGTGACACTGTTGCCGCTATGCTGGCGTTATCCAATGACCAGAATATTATTACTACTATTATAGTCCTTAGAGAGCCCTTTAATGGGCTTGTTCCGAAAAATTTATCTATTTGAGGACAGCCTTTTTCCTCACTGCTCTTTTGACCCGCTTATACTAATACACTATTAAGAATAGATAGGGTTTTACTCATGATGACTACTTCACGCTTACTACTTTAGAAAACGTCTTTCGCTTTCTGATTACGATAACAACGACGAAGATATTAAGATGGATGGACAAGACAAAGATTTCGATTACCAACCCCGACACCATTACATAACCTAAACCAGACCTACAGAAGCAGTAATAATAAAAATAATGATAGCAGCATCAACGAACAAAAACAACGTTGTCCGTCCGTTCAAGCGCATAGTCAAAAATAAAAAAAAAAACAAATAGACGAGGAAGAGATGAATGTTGACGATCGAAAGAAGTAAACTAGCGAGAAGTGATCATTTGATCGTCGTTGTAGAAACAGGTGGAATATTAACAAGCGGGACAAATCAGGAGATGACGGAAACAACAAAGAAAAAAAACAGAAATTGTCCTAAAGCAAGCGTCGTGAAGTTACTAGATTCGATAAGCATCGGCCTCCTCCGCCCGAAACTCTACGTTAATGCTGGTGTCAGCTACCGCACTGTTGCGGCATCATGTGTTACAATTTCTGTTAAAATCACCTATTTTTGGAAGGAAAATCCATGACGGATGACGACGGCGGAGCACATAGTAGTATCCTAGCCGTACGTTTCCGTACCTCTACTAGTTGCCTGTTCTTCCGGCTTCTTTTTTCTCTCTTCTGGCCTCATTTTCATACCTCGATGCCAGTAAAATGTTGCTCTTTGGAAGCCATTCGCCCGCCTCTCACAGTTGTTTCGTTGTGTGTTTATCCCTTTCAAACTCTTCATTTTGCAATCTTCAGGGAGAGAAAGAAAGAGGTGAGAGCAGATGTAATGACGAATTTACCCACCTGACGATACGACCATTCTGATCACATCCCGATTTTTCACTAGCCACTTAGACTATTTGAGGACAAAAAAACGACTCTAACATTCGAATTGTTATTATGGCTATTATTGTCAACGGTAAGCTGAGTACGATAACCATCGTGGAAATCATAGCCGTTCTCATATGTTTGTCTGCTTTTGATGCGTGACAAAAAAACGGCCTGGCACCATTTGCAATATTTCAACGCCGATAATTAAAGGCACAGCAGGCCTGTTTCCCGTATCGCTCATACGCAATATCAGATGCATATTATCAGAAAGCATTTTTTTTTTCTAACAGATGATTGTTAGGGTGAACTTTATGGGCAAACAATTTGAATTTCAGCGTTAATATGTTGAGTTGTACAACGTTTTGGAATTCGAAAATTGGCGCCGTTTTATTACGGCCGGTTACTTAGTCCCAATCATCCCCCCTTTGATAAAGCATTGTCTTTGCGTCATTATATAGCGCTCTCCTCTTGTTTCGGCGCCATCTCCAACGAAAAAGGTTCGATTCAGATATTCGGGAAGACTTTGTTTCCTTTGTTTTGAGCAAAAAGGATGCTGGAAAGAGGTGAATTGGAGTCCAATAGCTCAAATCAAGAGCTGAGATATGCCCCGCCTTCGATCGGATCCGTCGGTCAAGAACAACAAACATAGGGGGAAGGCTAAGATTGAATTCGACCGGTGAGAGCTGGTTGTCGGTTTCGGAGTGTCGTTTCGTCCTCTTTTTTGCTGCTGTTGTTATAACGGCTAAGGCCGTTTGCTGGTTGGTGCGGTTATTGCCGGCTGGAGGTGG